CCCCTGCATATGACACACCGACAATGGCAGCAATGTGGTGGATTGTTCTCCAACGATTGTCATGCACAAGTTGCCGAATGGTTTCGACATTTTCGGGGGTTGAGCTCATTGAAGGTCTTCCTGGTCTCTCTTCGTCTTCCAGTGATGTTCTTCCGCTCATGAAGTGCGCAAAACACCTCGAACGACTCATTGCAGCACCATTGTGAGCTCAAAACACCTCGAACGACTCACTGCAGCACCATTGTGAGCTCAAAACACACCTCGAACGACTCACTGCAGCACCATTGTGAGCTCAAAACACCTCGAACAACTCACTGCAGCACCATCGTGAGCTCAAAACACCTCGAACGACTCACTGCAGCACCATCGTGAGCTCAAAACACCTCGAACGACTCATTGCAGCACCATTGTGAGCTCAAAACACCTCGAACGACTCACTGCAGCACCATTGTGAGCTCAAAACACCCCGAACGACTCATTGCAGCACCATTGTGAGCTCAAAACACCTCGAACGACTCATTGCAGCACCATTGTGAGCTCAAAACACCTCGAACGACTCTTTGCAGCACCATTGTGAGCTCAAAACACCTCGAACGACTCTTTGCAGCACCATTGTGAGCTCAAAACACCTCGAACGACTCTTTGCAGCACCATTGTGAGCTCAAAACACCTCGAACGACTCTTTGCAGCACCATTGTAAACTTGCCAAATCATGTCGAACCTCCTTGTGGCAGATTTGCAGAATTTCACGTTTGCTCTTTGTTCTAACTTGCTGTCCACGATGAAATAGCAGATGTGGTAACGCTCGTGGTCAGAATAGCACCAGTTGCACAGCTCCCGGTGTACACAGGACGATGTCTTTTGGCACTCTGACCTTTGAAGGTCAGTGCTCCCTGTGACTGTGCGTGCCGCCATCTGTTGGCATGTTACAAAACTAGTCTCAAAACTTTTTGATACCACCTCATATTGTACAGGACGCCAAGGATGGGTCCTGGACGCATTCTCTGTGTCACCTATGTTTGGATCGTGGAATGTTTGGTGCAGTTGATGCACTCGGGGGTCCCACCTGTACAGGGAGAGGAATTCCGGGACCATCGAACATAAGGACTCTCTCCGCAAAAGTATAATTTTGCAGAAAATCTCCATTTTTTAACAATTAAAAACCATCCATGATCTCCAGTCCGGTGAATTTGCCTAGGCTGAGATAACGTCATCAGTCTGTTATACTCCCTGTGGAACCTAAGGGGTTAATCCTCCGCATTGTGTAAAAAAGACTGTTTGATCCTGTCTTCTCTGATCCTCCCCTTCTTCCACAGTCCTCAATTCATCTGCAATAGTTAGAGCAGCAGTGGCGAGTCTGCACATGCTCTGTTTGGTGTGTATTGCTAAAGAGGGTGCATGTGATTGGCACAGGGCCAATCAGTGCTGCCCAGACAGAGGGTCAGGGGTTATGCAGCCTCATAGGACAGTCAGGGGAGAATGAAAACTCCTCCTACAAGGACACTGATAGAAGTCACAAGACTGCTGTATACTGCTGATGAGAAAAGGTATTTAGCAGTTTTTATTTACTAAAATAATTGCATTTCCATGTTCTTTGTATGGTGGAAGAGTGGATATAGTGAATGCAGGGTCCGGGGAGAGCGGATATAGTGAATGCAGGGTCCGGGGAGAGCGGATATAGTGAATGCGGGGTCCGGGGAGACTAGATATAGTGAATGCAGGGTCCGGGGAGACCAGATATAGTGAATGCAGGGTCCGGGGAGACCAGATATAGTGAATGCAGGGTCCGGGGAGAGCGGATATAGTGAATGCAGGGTCCGGGGAGAGCGGATATAGTGAATGCAGGGTCCGGGGAGAGCGGATATAGTGAATGCGGGGTCCGGGGAGACTAGATATAGTGAATGCAGGGTCCGGGGAGACCAGATATAGTGAATGCGGGGTCCGGGGAGACCGGATATAGTGAATGCGGGGTCCGGGGAGAGCGGATATAGTGAATGCGGGGTCCGGGGAGAGCGGATATAGTGAATGCAGGGTCCAGGGAGAGCGGATATAGTGAATGCAGGGTCCGGGGAGAGCGGATATAGTGAATGCAGGGTCCTGGGAGACCAGATATAGTGAATGCAGGGTCCGGGGAGAGCGGATATAGTGAATGCGGGGTCCGGGGAGAGCGGATATAGTGAATGCGGGGTCCGGGGAGACCGGATATAGTGAATGCGGGGTCTGGGGAGAGCGAATATAGTGAATGCAGGGTCCAGGGAGAGGCCAGATATAGTGAATGCAGGGTCCGGGGAGAGCGGATATAGTGAATGCAGGGTCCGGGGAGACCGGATATAGTGAATGCAGGGTCCGGGGAGACCGGATATAGTGAATGCAGGGTCCGGGGAGAGCGGTTATAGTGAATGCAGGGTCCCGGGAGAGCGGATATAGTGAATGCAGGGTCCGGGGAGAGCGGATATAGTGAATGCGGGGTCCGGGGAGAGCGGATATAGTGAATGCGGGGTCCGGGGAGACCGGATATAGTGAATGCAGGGTCTGGGGAGACCAGATATAGTGAATGCAGGGTCCAGGGAGACCAGATATAGTGAATGCAGGGTCCTGGGAGACCAGATATAGTGAATGCGGGGTCCGGGGAGACCAGATATAGTGAATGCAGGGTCCTGGGAGACCAGATATAGTGAATGCGGGGTCCGGGGAGACCAGATATAGTGAATGCAGGGTCCGGGGAGGCTGGATATAGTGAATGCAGGGTCCTGGGAGACCAGATATAGTGAATGCGGGGTCCGGGGAGACCAGATATAGTGAATGCAGGGTCCGGGGAGGCTGGATATAGTGAATGCAGGGAGCCGTGTTTTTAAGTGTCATTTCTGTCTGCTACCCTGTTCCTCTGCTATCCTCGTGAATCACTTCTGACCAGTTTTCCTGACACCAAGAGAAAAATGGTGACAGGGGAGGGACCTCCAGCAGATTGACAGCCTCAGCTCTGTTCCTGTTAGATGTGTGGAGGGGGAAGGGGGTGGGTCTCTTCCCTCCAATCAGCTCTCAAAGCTCTCCCCACAGAGCTCTGCAGTGTCTAATTTCAGCTGTCCACCCCCTTTTTTTCTGACAAATCAAACAAGCTGTATACAGTCAGCACTTTGGCTGTAGAGAAGAGAAGGCTGCAGATAAACTAGTACAACTTATGTAGGTGGATTTGTTTCATCTCTTTGTATCACCAGTCTCACCGGGTATATGTAAGGGTTTACAATCACTAACATTTTTTTTTTCTGTACATGGTCACTAAAAAGCTGTCCAAGGCTCTCCAGTATCCAAGGATAGGAGTAGTCAGGACACAGATGTCTCCCCCTTTCTTGTTAGTAACTGCTGTCATCCTGCAATGTGTGCCATGTGATATTTGGTCACTTGATCACATGATGCACCAGATAGAAGCCTCGGCTGTTCCAGATAGCCATCTGCCTGAAGGGTTTAACAAGCCACCCCCCCCAAAACTGCAGGTTCTAGAAGAGAGTGGACACCAGCAACAGCCAAAGTGAGTCTTTATGTAGATCAACCTTTCTCAACCCATTCAGTACAGAGGAACCGTTACAATAAATTTCTGATCTCAAGTGATGAAAATTGATTCTATCTACAACTCACGATACATTAGGGTGATGGTCAGTGGGAAGAATGCTCCTTAGACTTGTGGTCAATGGAAAGAGTTACCCCCCTAAAGAAAGCTAAAAGGATCAATGGTGTCAAGGGGAACTTATCTTAGAGGCAGAAACTGCTCAAGAAACCCCTCTGGAGGAACCCTGGTTGAGAAACCCTGATGTCGACAGTGGAGGCAAGAAATGAAAGGGTTACCCGGTAGCTGGTCTCCAGTGTGGTCACGTTATCTGAAGACATCTCCCTTGCCTCTCCCTCCGGAGGCTTTGTAACAATTTAGCACTAATAACACAGGAACTTGGCTTGCTGAGAATATGTAATTCACGTAGGAAGAAGTTTCCAGACAATCCCGTGCTTCGTTCTAATACCAGTCTGGTCTACCGGAATGCAACAATTAAACCCCGGAGAGGTCAATGAAATAAGGCAAGGAGTTTCTCCCATTTTTCGGGTCACTCAACCAGAAATGGAAGAGTGGTGCGGTTCCACCTAATGGGGAACATCTCCAGATGGGTTGGTTTCAGGGACGTCTTGACAAATCTTGTTTTTGGTGCCAGAACTGGTTGCTCAGCCTGGGTCTGCCAAAAATATTGGTGAGTATGAACTTGAAGGGCTTACTTGTGATACAGAACGGGATGTGAGGGAAAACCCGTCCGCTTCCTCTGTAAATGACACGGTGTCAGGCATGGTGACACGGACACTGCTGGTTACTCATGAATGAAAGGGTGGGCACAATTGAATGTAAGGGGGAATCTGAAGGGCACTTATGGATATAAGAGGGACTCTGGTTGGTCCTGGATGTGAGGGAGAGTTAAAGTAGAAAATTGCCTTCAATGTTTGTGTATCTACAACCTGGAAACACTGCATTGAAGGTCTTTCATTAGGCACTTCCAGTTATGAGGTGACAACTGTTTCTCACTTGTGCTCCTGGGTTGTCACCATGTCACATGCAGCACCGAGTCACAAAAAAGATGAATACAGTATTTTATGGAAAATGCGGCGCAGTTTCGATGATACACATTGCTTTAGCAATGTGTGCTGAGCAACGGACCCTGCGTGGAATCTATGCAGAAGGGTGGCCACCCAGCACGGGACCTGGAAGACCAGAGCCATCACTGTAGGCGCTTAGGCCACTACACTGATTGACAGCTTCCACAGAGGCCAATCAGGTATCACATATGAATACTTATATCTTGCCAAGCTGGCCCAGTGTAAGTAGGAAAAATATATTATCCCTGGAGTTCAGCGTTAGGATATTCTAAAGTTTTTATTTCCTTGACCGCATTCCTTTGAGTTTTGAAATATCTCTAGACTTCTTTAGAGATTTGTCTCTGATATCATTGTCCTTTTTTTCTTTTCAGTTAAGCTCTCCCTGCCATCCTCAATGCGCCTCCTCGGCCTTCTCAACAATTTCACTGCTGTACAACTCCATTTGCATTGGGGGAGCGAGGAGCACCCAGGAGGCTCTGAGCACCACATCAATGATCAAGAATACCCTGCAGAGGTGAGATCTTAGATGCCAACACCCTTTAGTAAAACATTCGAGGTCAGTCTTTTAAAAAATGATATTTCTGTTATGGGGTTTGGTGGGCTAAATATTCTACAGGCTCTTGGGTTCTGTGGCAGTGATATCTGCCATACTTCCTGGCCCACCTGGGAGTTTTGGTTGCTCCTGCCCACCTTTGTGTGTTCCGGATCTTCCTGTTACATTCTCCATAATATAAAATAAATAAAAAATCAGCAGGCATGGTGGAAGAGATATTATTCTGGGTGGAGCGATCCATTTATGCCATGTCTCTGGTCCTAACAAGCTTTGGCCCAAGAACCTGGTCATATTTGCCCAAACCAGGTACAGTGAGTGTTTAGTGACTTTCATAGTGCCACAATGTTCTCCATAGGATCCCTAATTCCCCTATGCCAGTGGTGGGCAACCTTTTTTTTCAACTGAGCCAAATCTCGCCAAAACCACGATTGAAATTTATTTTGAGAGCCACATTTTTAAAACTGAAAATACATAGGATGGTACACTGTTTTTAGTTTCAATAAGTTTTTATAGTAATTCATCCCCCATATAGTAATTAATCCCCCCTATAGTAATTCATCCCCCATATAGTAATTCATCCCCCATAGTAATTCATCCCCCATATAGTAATTCATCCCCCATAGTAATTCATCCCCCATATAGTAATTCATCCCCCCTATAGTAATTCATCCCCCCTATAGTAATTCATCCCCCATATTAATTCATCCCCCATATAGTAATTCATCCCCCATATAGTAATTAATCCCCCCTATAGTAATTCATCCCCCATAGTAATTCATCCCCCATATAGTAATTCATCCCCCATAGTAATTCATCCCCCATATAGTAATTCATCCCCCATATTAATTCATCCCCCATATAGTAATTCATCCCCCATATAGTAATTCATCCCCCCTATAGTAATTCATCCCCCATAGTAATTCATCCCCCATATAGTAATTCATCCCCCATATAGTAATTCATCCCCCATATAGTAATTCATCCCCCATATTAATTCATCCCTCATATAGTAGTAGTAAGTAAGTAGCAAGTAGTAAGCCAAGTCCCCCCTGTGTCAAATCACTTACCTTTGCTCCGCGCGTTTCCTCTCGCCGTGTTCCCGCGCCGTTCTGGTCTTCAAGGCGGACTGTGAGAGGAGCCTAGCTCCTCTCACGTTCGTCACGCTGCCCCGCCTACACACATCCTGACAGCCAATCACTGGCTATCAGGATGTGAGTGGCAGCGAGACTGGCCAATCATTGCATTTGAGCGCGCTGCCCTGGCTGTTTTTTTTTTTGGATCACGCTGCAGAGTCCCTGCCGCCCGAGAGGAGGGAGGGGAGCGGGCGCCCGGCACACAAGAGCCGCATTAAAGCATGTAAAGAGCCGCATGTGGCTCGCGAGCCGCGGCTTGCCGACCACTGCCCTATGCTAACGAAATATTCTCAACAACATTAAAGAACATGCAAAGCTGTAAAAGCACCACCAACACAGACAGTACTTGGCTCTCCATGACAGTTCTTCTTGGAGTCTATAACTGAAGGTCTTATTCTCAGTGGAAGCAAAGCCCACAACTGTAGTAATGAATTTATTGTCCACTGTGCAGCCTCAGCACAACCTCCTGTTGTCAGATTAAAATACAAGATGTAAGTGTCCAAAGGCCTGGTGTAATCTTCTGGCCTAGATACATCTACCAGGTCCTCCTCAAAACAATGGTCCACATCTGCTAGGTCCTTTCTAGCTCAAAGGTCCAGGTTTTATGAAGCACCTTACTATCCCAGGAGTAGACAAGGAGAACCTAATTCATGGATTGCTGTGAAGACTTTCAGGAAGAGCTAAGTACTGTGTATGCAGTATTTATATGTGAACGTTGCTGAGAGTTGAACTTTGTGGAGTAGCAACAAGAGTTCACCATTGTATTCGATCAAAGTTATGTCCAGTTTGTTAACCTCTTAGGTTCCGGTTCTGAAAGTCTTTTGACTTCTCATCCAAAACAATAAAGTTTTTCGGAGTTATGCTGATATACAGTAAAAGGAAGGACTAGTCAATAAAGATCATCAAACATCTTTTCCTAGTTTAGTTCTATGCCAGATTTCATCAAAAAGCTTGTTTTCAAGTGAGTACACTTTTTGGATTTTTACCCTGATAGTCATTCTTGCTGTACTATAGTTTAATGCTTTATACAGCCAACAGGTAATGTATTATGCGACCAATGGTTGTCAGTTGATACCTGACCATCCCACTTACAAATTAGCCAAATATATGTGAACCCCCTCCAAATGATTAAGTTCAGGTGGTGAAGGGATACAGCATTGGTTCAGGCTACAGCATACAAAGACATCATAGACAACGTAGCTCCAACCTTGTGGCAACAGTTTGGTGAAGGCCCTTTTCTGTCCCAACATGACTGTACCCTGTGTACAAAGCCAGCACCATTAGGACATGGGATGAACTGGAACACCAACTGTGGGTCAGGTCTTCTCATCCAACATCAGTACCTGACCTCATAAATGGTGGCCAGCTCCATAAAGACATGGTTTGATCAGTTTATTGTGAAGGACCTTGAATGTCCTTCACAGAGCCCTGACCTCAACCCTACTGAACACCTTTGGTTTGAACTGGAATGCTGATTGTCATCTGGGTCTTCTCATCCACCATCAGTTCCCGACCTTATAAATGTTTTTTTTTTGGCTAAAAGGGCACACAATCCCATAGGCATACTCCAAAACCTTTCCAGAAGGGTGACGAGTGTTATAGATGCAAAGGAAGAGGTAGGCCATGGTGAGTCCATATTAATGCCAATGGTGTTGGAACTGGATATCCAACAAATTAGTGTAATTGTCAGTTGTTAAAAAAACTTTGGCCATTCATATACAGTTTTCAGGCTGCTGAGACTAAGTCAACTACAGGATGTCACCTATTGACCAGATGTAATGTTTTATTCATTACCTCTTTCTTTTAAGTAGGCCTTCTCAAAATGTTCTAAAACCCTTCATTACTGATAGGTCTAAGTACAGCAACTATCTCATTTATATATAAGTATGTGTGTGTGTTTTTTATTAGATTACAGGTGCCATTTAATGGGTCAGTCCACTTAGAATTTATATTCAAGTGTTTTGGTAGATGTTGGAGAGTTAAACACCTTCTGCTCCTCAGGGAATTTGGTGGGATCACTGCACTGAATTTCCATGTCAGCACACCTGCTGTGCCCATTATGAGGAATTCCCACCATCCTGGTGCTGAGTTCCTGGTCTGGTGGGATCACTGCACTGAATTTTCATGTCAGCATACCTAATGTGCCCATTATGAGGAATTCCCACCATCCTGGTGCTGAGTTCCTGGTCTGCACACCTGTTGTGCCCATTATGAGGGGTTCCCACAATCCCCGTGCTGAATTCCCACCATCCTGGTGCTGAGTTCCTGGTCTGCACACCTGTCGTGCCCATTATGAGGGGTTCCCACCAACCCTGTGCTGAGTTCCCAGGTCTGTACACCCACTGTGCCCATTATGAAGGGTTCCCACCATCCCTGTGCTGAGTTCCCGGGTCTGCACACCTGTTGTGCTCATTATGAGAGGTTCCCACAATCCCTGTGCTGAGTTCCCGGGTCTACACACCTGTCGTGCCCATTATGAGGGGTTCCCACTATCCCTGTGCTGAGTTCCCAGGTTTATACACCTGTTGTGCCCATTATGAGGAGTTCTCACCATCCCTGTGCTGGGTTCCCAGTTCTGCACACCTGATGTGCCCATTATACGGGCTTCCCACCATCTCTTGCATGAGTTCCCAGGTCTGCACACATGCTTTGCCTTTTATGATAAGCTCCCACCCAACCCTATTGGATTTATTATTTATTTTATAATTTGAAGGAGGAGCAGGAACACACGAAGGTGGCCAGGAACACCCAAGACTCCCAGGTAGACAGAAACAGTTGGGAGTTGGGACCATGGCACTGAAATCCTGTTGTTGGAGTACTTAAGACCTACAACAAGTCAGAAGCTGATTCAACCCACCTGGCTCCAACTAAGCCTGAGATATGACGTTAAGCTGGACTGACCCTTTAAAGGAAGTGGACCCTCTTCCCGTATACTGAGCAGCAATGGAAAGCTTGCAACCTTTTTATATTTGGTGGCCCTTTAAGTCTTTATGAAGCTATTCATATCTTAAGAACATTGCTCGGGGGCTTATAATCTTACCGCGTGTTTTTGTAGTATTAGACGAGGCTCAAGCTGAGTAAATGTATTCTCTGCTGGAGTCATTGATCCCCGTATCCCTGGCAAAGAGCTCTGCTTGGCCTGCCACCAAGCTACCAAACGCAATGTAGAAAGACCTTCACATGCAGTTCAATTAAACGGGCAGATCTCCCGGAAAACTGCTAAATACAATAATTAAAGACATATGTGGGAAAATGTTTACCTACCAAGGGATTTGTATATCTGTCCATATTGGCTGAAGAATTACACGACATGTCTAGCAGGGTAGGAGATCTGATTTCTTATTTCTCCAGTTCAGGAACACTTACAGGTCATGTCCCTCCCCAAACCTGAGATTGGACAGTGAAAGCAGAAGCAGCAGACTGAAAAGCTCCCTAGGCACTCAAGAAACCATTCTGGATCTTGTATTGAAATTCTGAGCGTTTCCGGTGTGTTCCTGTTAACTTCAACAGGCTGCCGTCTTCTAAACTCAACAAACCAAGTCAAATTTGCCACAACATGTTTAAGACCTCCTCCCGCTGCCTGTTATCTCTTAGGTGGGAGGTTTGAGGGGCCTGTTAAATGTGAAGATGAGCAATTTATGATTCTGTCCTTTGCCGGACACAAGGAGAAAGACCGTGGTGGGTCTTGGATGGATTGAAGAAGTCATAGAATATCAAGCTCAATCATCTCCTCAAATCAAGCTCATCAGATGGTGGTAGGTTCCCCCTAGTCTCCAGCTTTTGGTTTTGCCACGGTATGTTTAAGACTTTCTCCAGTTGCCTGTTATC